TTATCTGCCTAGGAGTGGCACCACCCACAGGGGACCCACATCAACCATTAATTGGTCAAGAAAATGCTTCATAGACTTGTCTACAGGCCAGTTTTATGAGATTGCCTCTTCCCAATTGTCTAGGTTTATACTGACAAAAATAAGCCAGTACACTATATAAATAAATACAATAGGTTTGAGTATAGTGGGTTTTCAAAAGGATTAAACACAAAACTCCCAGTTACCAATAATGTTGGTGTTGCATGAAGAAAAGAAATAAAAGCACTTCCCCTTAGTGTCATTTAAGCAGGAGCAAGTCCAGAGTTGGAGTCTCCACTCATGTTCCCTGTGTCCTCCATCCTGTCTGACTGTTGCATGAGTCTCCATCTCTGCCTGCCTGAAGGCTGTCTTGTGAATGTGTCCCTGTTCCTGTGTTCTGTTTCTGTCCTTCACAAGGGGTTTCACTCTGTCTTTATTGAACAGCACAAAAAGCATCACATGGGGAAAGAAGAAGGGATACTTTACAGAAATCTGTAACAGTTTTTTACAAAGTTCAGTCCCTGTTTCCAGCTGATCCCAATTGACCAAGACAACAAACAGCATCACACACATCGTTGTTTATCAACCAATGTCCAAACAGTATATTCGATATTCATGGAGGATATTCATTTTGGGAGATTGCTTTCAACCTCTGTATTTGCTGCTTTCTGAAAGTGATACACATGCACTGTTCTTGTCAGGGATGTGACAGAGTATATAACTTAAGGTTACAGCTATATATGGGTTCTAAAACTTGATTACATGGGAGATCTAAGGCCAGTAAGGTTGATTGTTAAATGCAAGTTAAACAGGATGAGCATACAGTAAGTAGGCCAACAAGTCAGGTCTATTAACAACTCTGGCCTAGAGGTCCAGCAGAAGTTCCATCCTCTTAGGATGTAAGAGATATTTTCATAACACTCCAGGTTGAAACTCAAAAGGTTGAGAACCGCTGGACTAGAGGAATGTAGTATGACTACCTGATGCCTTTCAGAGTTCAAAGATTGACAAGAAAGGGAAGTAGTTGCAAAAGACTGAATAGGGAAGTGAAGGGTGAGAGATGGTTTTCAAGAACATTCAATTTGGGGTTGTGGGATGGGACCTGTAGTTCTCCACAGCACCAGGATTTGTTGGTTAATGGGGTAGAAGAATGGAGGGACAATGAAATTGGGTTGAAAGTGCATGGGGGTCCATAATGATTTGTAGTAGTGGGGGGGGGAAAGTGGAGGTAGGGGAGTACTCTCATTGAGAAGGGGTAAATCATAAGGGAAGGCCCAGAGATAGGCAGGGGTTATAGAAGTTAGCTTATAGAAATTAGCTAAAATTCTGCCTGTAAAGAAGCAGTTAAATGGAAAAGTACAGATCCCTTCATTGGTGCCACATGTGGCTACTGGGTCATTTAAATCATTTTCTTTGGTTCTCAGTTGGTTTTAGAGTTGTAGAAGAAATAAATTTTGGTTTTTGTTTGTTTGGCTTTCGAGGCAGGGTTTCTTTGTGTAAGCCTGGCTGTCCTGGAATTCTCTCTGTAGAGATCACCTGTTTCTGCCCCTACGAGTGCTGGAATTCAGGGTGTGTTCTACCTCGCCTAGTCCACATTTTGTTTTGATTAACAGTCTTTCTAGTTTTCACAAGATTACTTAAATTGAATTTAGGAATTCTTATTCTTGCCATTTCTTGTTTCTTTCAGTAACTTGGATCCACTTACAGAAACTGTATCCTTTTTTCAGAAAAAAAAAGTAAAACTAAGAATTATTTATGAAGAAAAAGAAAATTGGAGAAACAGAAGGAAAAAAACAGATGAGTACTGAAAAAGTTTAAACACATAGGTTTTTGAACAGGGTAAGCATCATTGAAAGCAGTTACAAAGTGAGAGTGAGAGTGGTCTTTGTCTTACAATTGCCCACAAACTATGAATGTGATGGCTTTTACGACAGTAATCCTGTAGCTCTGCTGCCCACCCTGGTCTTGCACAGGAAACCACAGCAGCAACAGAACGGCGATTTGAGGCCTGCCTCCCTCTGCTGTGAACCAAATCTAGAGCGGAGAGGTAGCTTAGGGTCTACCTACTCCACGATGTCTCCAGCAGTCCTGCTCAGGATCGACTGGCTCTTGGTGGTCTAGACTGCTAGCGAACTCTTTGGGAAGCACTATACGGCCCTTTCCAGCTGTCCAGTATCCCCCTCTGACGTTTTTTGTTGCTGGTGTGAATACTGGGTAATAGGATTTCTAGTCCATGTTCCACTGACTACTGCTGATAGGTTGGGGAATTAACTGGTAGCTTAAAAGGGCAGAGGAGGCTCACCAGTCAGAAGATACATGCACACTAAAATCATCTGAGAACCCAGTTTAATGTATCAGGATTATCCATAATTTTAAAAAGATACAACTCAGTGCTGCTGCTGGGGAAGTTAAGGCACCTTCTTAGAGACTGCTAGTGCTGTAGTCATCTAGCACAATCTTTCTGGAAAGGTTTTAGAAGAATACTTGGTATTTCCATTTCCTGAATGCTGAAAATAAGAACAAACAAGCACTTTACTTCATGGTTTGGCAAATAGCAGATGCATGGACCAAATCGGGCTCACCACTCATTTAAGAAATTCTTTTTACAGGTATACATCTCTGTTGATTAATTTACATACTGCCTGTGGCTCTTAAGAGTTTGGGTATTGTCCTTTTACAAAAGAGTGGCATCACAAAAGTTTAAGAGAATTATATTGAAAATTTGGAAAATCATTTGCCAGTTAGGAAATGGTAAATAAATTAAGCTGTCTTGAGGGACAGCTTTTTTCCTTTGTTTTGTTCTTTAGAAGTTAGTAATGACCTAGATGTCCCCTGGTAGAGGGATGAGGTATTTAAGTTGTGTCCCCATGTAAAGGAGTGTTGTACAGCAACAGAATTTAACAAATACACGCAAGCATCAGGAGGCGATATCAGAAACAGGAAGTACAAAAAGCAGAAAGGCCTCAGAGTACTTACTGGTATGCCTAGGTATTATGGAAGTTTTCACTGTAAAGTAAAATAGGGAGAATAGTAGACTGCAAATCAACCTGCTTTGAATGGATAAGCCCTAGTGTTTATGTAGGGAGTAGGGATGTTTATGGGAGGTCTCTGGGTTCCTCTGTCAAGCAGAAGAAGGGTTGTGGTGTTAGTTGCTAGATGGCAGGAAGAGCAGCTGGCCTGCCCAGATAAGTTCTGGAAGAAAGACTGCCCTTTAGAGGAGAGTGTGAAGACTAGCCCTGATGAGGTTTTTTCCCCTGGAACTTTTTAGTAAAAGTTATGATTAATAGCATCTTCTTATGTGATTACACCAGAACTCACTATATAGACCAGGTTGGCCTCAAACTCATAGAGATCCCAGTGCCTCCTGAGTGCTGGGATTAAAGGCATGTACCACTGTGCCTGGCTGTCTAACAGGATATATTTAAATGATCGCCTTATACACCCCCAATATACCCTGTAATGAGGAAACTTTTGCTGCTTATTACTCTGCATATTCCTTAACAGGTCTAGTATGGGATTCCTTTTTACTTACAGTACCTTGCCCACTGGCCAGAGTATTTCATCGTTGCAGAGGCACCTGGAGGAGAACTAATGGGTTATAGTAAGTACAGTACCACTAGTACTTTTTTGGGTGAGTAGAGATTTTAATATAGGTTTCAGTCTGCTTTACTCCCTAGACTTTTATGTAAATGGTGAAGGATGGAATTTTATTTTCTGATCAGTTACCAACACATTACCATGTGTCTTCTTTGTTCAGCCTCGTGCTAGGCAAGAATAGAGTGGTGAACCTAACAGACATGATTTACGTCTTTTTGGATCTTTCATTCTGTATATTTCTGTATGGTTTGCTTGATATATAATGCAGTGATTAAAACATATGCACTTAACTAATTTCTAACAACCTACACTATAAATTGCTACGATTATATATACATTGTAAATAGAATGTAATTTCAAATGTAGCTATTTGACAGTGAATCCTAAACTATTTCAAATGTAGCTTATTCAGACAAAAAGTATCCTTAGTCTTCTATCTTGGTTTTTAGCTTATCATTCTTAAATATTTTAAGTTTGGCTTTAGAAGTAGGTATAGAATATCATTTATTTGCAAGTGGAGTTTCAAATCAAAGTATTAATCATTAGCTTGACAGTAGTATTTAAAAATTACAACATTGGTACATTTTATTATAAAAGATGAATGACAAACAGTAATCCTACATTTATGTGCAAGTTAGTGTTTTAATTTTGATGCAATTTTCTGTTGGCAGTTATGGGTAAAGCAGAAGGCTCAGTAGCTAGGGAAGAGTGGCATGGACACGTCACAGCTCTGTCTGTTGCCCCTGAATTCCGCCGTCTTGGCTTGGCTGCTAAACTTATGGAGTTACTAGAGGAAATTTCAGAAAGGTGAGAGCCATTTTTTAAATACAGTGAGTGACTTATGAGCCCTGTTTCTTTTGCTGCTGAATATCTGAAGAGTGTTTTCTTTTTCTAAGTGCGTGGAACTGTCATGGCTTTAGATTGAGGAATTTCATTTCCAGCTTGTAGTAGTTCTACAATTCTGTCAAATTCACAGTGGGGCCATTGCTGCTCCTTTGCTATTGACAACAAACAAAAGCAGTGTGACCAGCCATAGACCTTTGAGCTAGATGACTGGTTGGAATCAAAGATGACCAACCTTTCAAGGAAGGTCTTTGGTGTTCTTGGCACTATGGGAGATATCTCTAGGCCTAAAGTAGTTCGGTTTTGAATTTGTTTCTGTTCTAGTAGCCATCTATAGAAAAATAGAAATGCTAAGTCCTTTATTTTTTTTTAACTATGGTCATCTACTACTGAGGGAGAAGTACATTGTTGAACACTGACTTCTTAAACCTGGAAGCACATGCAACGTAACCCATTTCCACTGGTTTTCATGTAAGTTAGTAGTTTAATCATAGCAGCAAGTGTGAGAAGCCATTTCATAATAGGGGTGTCGTCAAAAGGAAATGTAACAGTAATGGATGTGTGGAGTTTGGATGTTTTCCCCCAAGCATCTGAATAGCCTGTGGCCAGGGTGGATATGCCTTTAAAGCAGACAGACCTTGATTTTGAGGTCACCCTGGTCTGATAGTAAATGCCACGTCAACCATGTATATATACATAGTGAGACTCCTGTCTTAAAATCAAACATCCTGAGGCCCTTCTGAGTTTGAGGCACTCAGTGCAGTTTGGTAACTGCCAATAATATGGCTTTTTAAAGAAACCTGTTACTGCATCTCACTCACTGTGAGAGATTGAAAAGCAGCATAGTAATGTAAAAAGAAGTCTTCCCCCATTTCCTATAAGGGACAGAAGATACCTGTGTCTGGCATTTGTTAAGTTGCTGTTTTTCCCTCTGCCTGAAAGAATGGTATGAAGGGATGGTTATAGATGTAGAGGCTTTGTTTCCACAGAACTATCAGATTTTAATAAAGGCAATTTCTAAAGATGTAACTAGTCATGAATGCTCTGAGCCAAACTGCAGATCTGCTCATTCAAAGAAAGGAAATACTTTAACAGCCCTGGCTATGCTGGAACTTGCTTTGTTAGACCAGGCTGGTCTCCAACTCAGAGATCCACCTGCCTCTGACTCTGGAGTGTTGGGATTAAAGGCATGTGTCATCACTCCTGGCAACGGAATAGTTTTAGTAAAAAAGAAGTCTTTGTGATGTTTTTAAAGTTCTCCCTGGACTGAATATTAGGAAGAAAAATTTTAGCAAGATAGAATGTACACACATTTATTAATGACATTACTGTATAATAGACAGTCAAAGAGGAAATGGCTTCTAACAAGCTATAAGCTTAGGCTTATAGCTTATATGGATCTTATTATTAGGTCTTATATTCTATCTGTTTAGGTAGAAAATTACTAATCTGTCTTTCGTTCCAATTTCTGAGGCTTCATTTTGTGTGAGTGTACACACATATAAGTACTATATTCATGTCTTTTTTGGATGCACATTAAATCAAGTGGAATATAATAGTCACATAGGAGTGAAAAATAAAAAAAATGATTTAAAAGAGAAAAATAAGAGTAAAAAATAAAATCAATGTAAAAGAGAAAATTAAGTAACTATGAATGACTAATGACTACAGTGAAAAGACAGACATGGGCTAAGGATGCAGCTCAGTAGTCAAGTATAAGACCCTAGATTCCATCCCCAGCAGTACCCAAAAGAAAAATAATGCATATTCTTCTTATAGAAAATATATGTAAGACTATAAAGATTGAAAATAAAAAATACTAAATTATCTTACAAATTATAGCCAAAAGGAAGTTGATGTCCTCATATTGATAGTATTTACATTATGGTGGAATATTTATATTAGAGTTTACTATCACAGAAAGGGGCCACTGCATACCAATAAACTACAAGCGTGAGGGCCTGAGTTCATATCCCCAGAATCTATGTACAAAGCTCATAGCCAAGATGGGAGGTAGAGACAAGAATTGGCAGAAACCCATAAGTCAGACAGCTGGCTGTACAGAGTGGAGAACAAGCAAGGCGGGAAGACAGAGACCCATGGGTGTTCTGAACCCACATGTGCACTGTGGCATGCTCACATTCACAAAGATTTTTTTTTTTTAAGGTTTTATTTATTTATTACGTATACAGTCTTGTGCCTGCATGCCAGCAGAGGGCACCAGATCTCATTTAAGGTGGTTGTGAGCCACCATATGGTTGATGGGAATTGAACTCGGGACCTCTGGAACAACAGCCTGTGCTCTTAACCACTGAGCCATCTCTCCAGCCCCCTCACAAAGATTTTTTAAAAAAACTTAATCATCAAAATGGAATAATGTTATTTATATACTCTGGATACTACAAGAAAAAAATGGATAAGTGGCTAATGAGAGCTGAATGTGCTTCTTTGTAAAAACTGTCAGGTGGAAATGAAGTAAGGTAAAGAACATACAGCAGCAAACCTTTTCCAGGGCAGAGGGGAAAGAGTCTGTAACCACATAGGGTCTCTTGCATAGGTTTCTATCTAAGCAAACAGTTTAAAAGCTATTCTTAGCATGAGGGTAGTGCAAAAGGAAATAGTTTGCAAGTCAACCCTATCATAGTAGTCGATAGACTTCTTCTACAACAAAAGCTATGGCAGCTTTCCAGGTTAGTTGTGGTAGCTCACACCTGTATCCTATCATGCAGAAGGATTGTGAATCCAAGGCCAGTCTGGGCTATCCACAGTAATAAGACTGGACGAAGTGTCTGTGTAAAGGGGGTCACTAAAGTAAGGTTGGTTTTACAAAAGCAAAACCAGTCTTTAGGCTAATGTGTCCTTGATAATGTAAGGAAGGAAGATATGAGGAAATGTCACCAGAGTGCACAAGTTGCAGAAAAACTGCTGGTTAATGGCTTCAGCGAGTCAAAAGAATACACCAGGAGCCAGTGTTTGACTGTTACTCATTCGATGTAGTGTAGATAACAAATTAGAGACCAGAAGTGAGGAGAGCATCTTAACCTGAAAAGTTTCTACGAAACCCTGTAGAATATTTAATGATAATCTGCAACCAGGGACAAAGACCAGTCAGTCCCTCTTCAGAATATAAGGAAGAATGGAAGAGGACTGAGAGGCAACCAAATTGCTGTTGCAGACAGACTGCATAAGTATTTAGAACTAGTTAGAAACAATGGAGTTTAAAAACCTACAAAGAGGTGAGGTATCAAAGTATTAGTATGTTTGAGAAAAATCTAAACAAAACTATGCAGGAGTACTCCTTAATGTTTATAAAATTTTATGGGGAGACATTAAAGTGCCAGACCTACATGGAAATAAACTAGCTGTAAGTTTTGTGACTGACTGTAGGGCCAATGTACTTACAGCCAGAATCCTACTGGGTGGTGGCGGGGGTGGGGGGTAGTGTTAAGGTAGAAACAAGGAAAAAACAAACAACAACAAAAATATGACAAAATACTCTTTAACAGTGGGTAGATTTGCCCTATCATGTCCAGTGTGTGGTATAGACTATTGGTGCTGGAGCAGCTGTTAAAGAAAGAGGACCTGACATACCTGAAGCTGCGAGTGGAAAGGTAGATTTTTCATAAAGATGATGGGACAAGTGTTTCCCTGGTTACTACTTAATTACATACAAATGTTAGATTTATTAAAAACATGGATGTGGAAAGAAACTTTGAGTATAATGATGGAAAGCATGTTCATGACCTCAGTGAACAGAACTTCTTAAGCAGGCTGTAAATGTAAACAGTGCTAACCATACACAGAAGGCTCATTACTCCCATTAACTAAGTGGAGTAGTTTTGCTCACCCAAAGATAACCAACCCAAAAGTTTGCAGAAAACTCAACCATTGTAAAATATTTAGCACACACACACAAGAGAATAGCGATTAGGAAACAAAGGGCACTCAGTGCTGTACAGAAAGAAATCTAAATGGTCAACACAATCATCTCATTAGTTAATTAGAAATACAAATTAATGTCACATCAAGACACCAGTTCTAATACACTAGGAATGTACCTGGTATAAACAGATTATATCTAAATCAGGCTGACAGTGTACATACACAATGACACAGCAAAGGTATATCCCTAATTAGACATTGTATCATGGGATGCTCAACAAAAGTATCTATAATAATATCTTTTCTAATAGAACTGAAGTATTTCCAGAGGACCATGGGCAAGTTGGTATTCATGCAGTGAAAGTCTAAACAAGGTGAGGATACTAGTTCCAGCAACTCAGGAGGCTCAGTGCTCACAAAGGAATCCCCAAACTGTGACTGTGCTTATAAAGCTCACAACCAAAAACTAAACCTTTGTAGGTGGTAAACAGGAAGGTAATAGCCTGGACACAAAATTAGGATGTGGAGACCTTTAAAAAAAATGAGACATTACAACCAAAGAGAGTCTGGTAGTAGACGGACGTCAGGGCAGTTACCAACATCCTATAGCAGCTATTCTTGGGTCATTTGTTATAAAAGATGTCAGCTGCAAGATTGTTATTACCATTAGTCAAAAAACAAAGTGTTCTTAACAGTTTTAACATTTCTTTTTTTTTCTTTTTTAAAGAAAAGGTGGATTTTTTGTTGATCTCTTTGTAAGAGTGTCCAATCAAGTTGCAGTCAACATGTACAAGCAGTTGGGTTACAGTGTCTACAGGACAGTCATAGAGTACTACTCAGCCAGCAACGGGGAGCCTGACGAGGATGCCTATGGTAAGCGACTTGTCATGGCAGGAACTCCCAAGACAAAGTCAAAATAGTTAAAACTTCCTCCCACAGGCCTAAATACTCACTGTTAATAAATCCAAAACCATCACATTTATGAACTTATTAATAGTTAACCACTGCTTGGTTAAGTTAACTTCTATAAAGATCATTTCATTGTAAAGATGTGTACTTTTACTAAGAAAGAACATTCTGTAGTTGACTCCTAGTTGGGGGTTTGGTTAGCACCTGACAAACCTGCAGTTGGGAGTCTCTTAAGCACATATTGCTTGGGTTGGTTTGCAAGGAGGGGCACAAAATCTGATGGGAACTTAACCCATATACTCCATTTGATCTTAAAAAGTTTGGTATTGGTTGCTTACATTAATATTTGCTTCCTAACAGATATGAGGAAAGCACTTTCCAGAGACACTGAGAAGAAATCCATCATACCATTACCTCATCCTGTGAGGCCCGAGGACATTGAATAACCATAGGCAGTGGTTCTTAGGCAGGTGTTCCAGACAAGTTTGTGGACATATTATTTTCATAGGATGATCTTGGAGCTCTATTAGGAGGAAAGTAATCATTTAGGTCTTAAAGACTTCATGAAAATACAGGCTATAAACTTACTTCAAATCTCATCGTTCCAATGAGCAATAGCATACATGTTCAAACTGTTTGCCATAGTAAAATTCAATCAAGGCAGCTAAGTCAGAAGGACACGTTCCACTATCATGGTTGACAGTATGCAGTATATGCCAAGGAAAGACTCCCTCCCTCCTCCTAAATCCTGTGCCTGAGAACCACTGCTGCACATATATAAATATATATATATATTTTATTTTGTATTGAATTGTTAATTGAAGCTTTAAAAGCATATATGAAATGTATAAATCTGAGATGTATAGTAAAATACACTGTTGACTATGAATGTTTTCTGAAGTTTGTTGTCTTTTAATCAGGATTATGGAGGGTTGTTTAGGATGTGGTGTCTCTGTTTTGACTTTTATATAAAACATTTGTAAATGCATTATCTGAAAATTGGCATACTTAAGCTTCCTTTTTACAGTGTGAAAATCCTCCCAGATAATACCTTTCCTACTGCTGGTCCCAGATCTCCTCTGCTAACACTGTTCAATCCTGCCTTTCAATGTGAGACTATAAAGGGGAATAGATGACAGCTATGTATTGAAATACTCAGGCACTAAAGAAGTAACCAAAAAGTCCATGTGAAATGACCATTAAAATGTGTTTGTGTGGGCATTCTTTTTTTTTTTTTCCTGAGATAAGGTCTTGCTCTGTTGCCCAGGCTGGCATCTTGCCCTCAAGTGGTAGCACCCGATTTAAGGCTAGGGTGAATGAATGAACTTGTTCTCAAGGAGGAATAAGGATTCCTTCAAGCCTTTCATACTGGCACTCAGTTGTTATGAGTGAATGTTAAGAGCAAAGTCCCTAACTTTCATCTTATGGATAAGCAACATGAGAACAGACCCAGGAAGACTTAGTTATGGAACTAGCATTCTGACCTGCTTTCACCTCCATCTTTAATCTGCACTACCTCAAAGGATATTCAATGACAGATTTTCTTCTTTGCTTGCAGACTTAAGCTGACACCCAAGCCTGGTGCTGGTCTGGTAGCTTAAAAATCTATCATTTACTCAGTAGTACTATTTTCTTCTAACTTCCAAAATTATCTTATTTTCAAGACCCAATTTAGTAATATTACTAAACAGCTTTTATTCCCTCAGATGGATATACTGACATTTAATAACCAGTTGTTTACTAATAGTTCTTAAAGGTAAAACACAATTCTAGGCTTTGGGTGGTGAACAGGAAAATATGGCTGTGTGAAGTACAGATTAAAACGGTGCCTCCAAGACCAGGCAAATGCTATTTTACAATGTGAGCAATACCAAGTATGTTACTGTGCTACTTTCAGCATCACTGAAAGTACACAGTCACGGTGGGTTCTTTGGACACCTGCTGTTATATGACAACTGTTAAGCATCAGTTGTTATGAGTTCACATGTTCTACAGCATGCTGGGAAATGCATACTCTCTAGGCAGACAACTGCAGAATTCAGGAAGCCTGGGGAGCTGGCAATAGTGCTGTGATGAGTCATGTCCTAAGCAGCATATGGAAAGCTCCAAACACTCTAAAGAGAATTAACAAAGATGTTAACATAAACCCCGAATTTCCCAAACTTACTTGAACATAGGACACTGTGCCTAGGAGCATCTGCATATGCAGAGGCCACTATTTTCTAAACAAGCTACTAAAAAACCAGTTTTAGAAACTGATGGGAGCAAAAGTGAAGCCAAGCTAAAATGTTCCTGGCAAATAACAACTTGGTCCAAGAATTAACAGTTGCTACAAATTACTTCAGGATATTTAGAGGCTAAACTAGCCCAAGTCCATTTAATTCTCTAAGAAGTATACACATAATGCTAAAAATGAAAAGGGGTCGGAACAAGACTGGTATCAGCACATTCCTTTTCTAATGGGATCAAAATGAGGTGTCATGATCCTACCCCATGTTTAAGGCAACAGAAAACAAAGACACAGCAATGTTAGGACTGGACTCAGGTTGTGTGGTATCAACATGACAGAAGACAGTGACAGGTTTAGAGGCACAAACACCATCAGAGAGACCTTTTTCCTGCAGAATGGATCATGAACACGTAAGAGTCAAGTTGCCTGCACTTGGTGCACACCTTTAATCCCTGTACTTGGGAGGCAGATGGATCTCTAGAGTTCAGGCCAGCCTGATCTACAGAGTGAGTTCCAGGATAGCCACCAGGGCTACACAGATAAGCCCTGCCTCGACTCCCTCCCCTCAAATGTCTGCAGTTCTACCTAAAATAGGTGCTGAGCACATTAATTTCATGTAATAGACAATATGGGCAAGTACTAGGAAAGTTAGGACTCAAGTAACAAAACTTAAAAAATTTTCTTTACTTGCAATTTCTCATCCACATTTAAACCCAAGGGTGTTTTCAAAAATAATTCAAAGGTAGCTACCAAAAAATGCCAAACAACTCCTTCCTGGGTAAATATACAAAAACATTCAGAAGTCAAAGTTCTAAACTATTAATCCATAAAAATATTACAACATTTAAAAAGATGAGGATTCACTCTCATCAATGTCCTTATCTGGATCCTGTTCGGCAGCTTCTTTTTCTTGTTGCTGTTTCTTCCAAAGCTTGGCCATTGCCAGAAGTTTGAGGTTAGGCTGGTTGGCAGCATCCTCAGGAAAGATGTAATCATAGTATTCTTCCCACCCAGCATCGGACTGCAAAATTAAATCCACCAGTTAAAAGGGGAGTGCACATCTCTGGAACATGCTTCATTCAGAAGGGAGAGTGAAGGGGAAACCTAGACTTCAAATTCACCCATGTTTACTATACAAAACAATAGCAAATCCTGCTGTAGGAGGAACGAAAGCCTGGGCCCAAGTGAGTGACTAAACAGCTGCTCACTGAAAATGAAGGACCAAGTGAAGGAAATTAAACCTCTAAGCACAGCTTCTCCTGAGGCAATCAAGACACTCAGCACCTCAACTCCACCCCACAGTCATGTTTAAGACTTTAAAATTTTGAGTTTTATGGGCTGGAGAGATGGCTCAGCTGTTAAGACCATGTGTTGCTCTTGTAGAGGACCCAGATTAGGTTCCCAGCACCCACATGGTAGCTCACAACCATCTATAATTCCAGTTCCAGGGAATCCAATGCTGCCCTCTGACCTCCAAGGGCGCAAGGCATGCACATGGTACACACATACATGTGTAGGCAAAACACTCTTTAAATATTAATCTTAAAATTTGAATTTTACCCAATATTCAGTAGCAGAGGCCACCCATATAGCTGTGTATTATTTGGACTCCTAGCTCTCATCTTTTCACTTTCAACTGATCATGGATTTTACTTCTAAATACTATCCTGAAATGCACGCTCTCCTCTCATCTCCCACACATCCACCTCTCAGTTGCTAGACTTAGGAAAACTGTCCAATAGATCATCTATATGTCACTCAAGTCTACCTGTATGAATTGCCAGTAATCTAGTCATATACAGGCATCTTCAGTGGTTCCCACCAAACTTGTGCAACCCTAAAATGTCTTCTCAGGATTGGTGCCCCCCCCAGTAGTCCTCCCCCCATGCTGACTTCCTACTTCCCACTCTACAAATATCACATTCCCAGACTCCACCCTCACTGTCTTTGCCACACACACACCCCTTCCTGCTCTATTTTCCATCCCTGCTGTGTTCCTAGTAGCCAGACTACAAGTGGTCCTTATTCAGGCAGTCCACTACTTCAAAGCACACATTTCAAAGTCAGATGCATTTCTACTCCTTTGACAAGATATGAACAAGCTCTAGTGCTTAGCCCTTACCCCATCGTCGGCCTGGACCTTTCTTCTCTTCTTGACCTTTTCTGGCATGAGTTTGTCTACTCTTTCCTTGTCTGATACGGTTCCAAATTCATCTTCAAAACCTCGCCAGGATTCCAGCAACATAAGTCTCTCTTCTTTTTCTTCACAGTTTCTCATCGTTTTATTTGCCTCTTCATAAATCTGTCTGCATTTAGCCACACTTCCTTCTTTCCCTGAGGATAACTCAAACTGAGCAAAACTGATCCATACCTTTAAAAAATTAACAGAACCAAATTACCCATGTGGGCCAGAAGACAGTAATATGATGGCTTTAAAGCTACTTTCTCCAGTTGATAACGTGATGATGTATCACTGATAGCATTGCAGACTAATACATTGCACATATCTGACCATACACTGAACCTTGAATGTGATTTCCAAGAGATTCATGTGCACATGTGCAGCATAAACAATGACCTGGTATAAGCTTAAAATTCTTAAGTCCTTTAAGAACAGATCCTAAGAGCAAGAAAGTCATTTAAAATAGTCAGTCAGTCTAAAAGCACCAAAACTGCTGTATAAAATAAAATGAAAGACTGTTGACAAAGTTAGGGTACCTTGACATGCTGTGTTCGCTGAAGCAATTGTCGGTAAAGATTTCGTGTTCTTTCAGTTTCTTCCTGCTCAATCTCAAAATCAATATATGATTTCCAAAGTACCTAAGAAAAATGATAGGTCAGTCTTAGCACTAAGAAAGCCATGTGCCCCTATAGTTCAGCCATCCTGACCTACACCCAAGACCCTATGACTTCATTCAACAATTAAGATTCATGTGGATGAAGTTAAGACTAGCATTTACAAATTTGACAAAATGTGACTAGGATTTAAGACACGAAAAAAGGCTTTGGATTTAGTTTTACATTTTCTTTCGGAGTTTTTCAAATGTTCAACAGGACCAAAATTTGTCAAGAATTCCAGTATTTTCATGATCTTGTCATATGCAGTTAACTTTTAGGGAGAAAATATTCAGATTAGCCACTGTGTGTGTTCCTATCCCCAATGCCAATTTCTTGTCATTTGAGTTCAAAAAATGACCGCAGACACAAGGACAAACCGGGGCATGGGCACTAGGGGCTGGCAGTCTTGTGGAGGAACTGAGGCCACAGGTACTATCAGCAATTCAGGAAGCTCTTCCCTGACACAGGGTCATGTCAGTACCAGACTGACCAGAGGCTAGGACAGTTCTGTGGCTCCTGTGAAACCAATCAGTCCTAGCTGTGGTTCACAGCTACCTTGGGACTTAAATACTGCAGGTGGGCCAGTACTCCAGGCCTGCAGCAGTAGACTCTAGGAAGATCATGTTTCAGGCATAACTACTCTAAGGACACAGATATGCAGTCTCCACCCCTATTTCCTGTGTTCCAGATTGGGAGTGGAGGGTGGGAGGGCTACAAGTGATTCCTTACCCAGCCTTTTCTTCCTCACCCCCTTTAACCTTCCCTGTCAGCGGTGCGGGGGCTGCTGCTGACACTCCCCCAGCCCACTCTCCTACTTAACAAACAGAAGAATCCTAATTCGAGTGAAGAAGACTACAGGTTAGCTGGATCATCTTTATAGATTTTTGTGTAACATATTTAGAAGGTTAGATGGGGGAAATACTTAATAAGTATTTCAAATGTATCCAACTTGGGATTCTTACCTCTGGCATATCTAAGCGTGGCTGGCTGATGGCTAATTCATAGATTGCCCGTGCTCTATCGATATCACCAAGGATTGTCTCTAATTCTGCAAACTTGATCCATGAGGTACAATTTTCAGGTCCAAATTCCAAGAACTTCTCATAAAGCTTCCGA